TTTTGGCTTTGCGGGCAAATACAGTGTACGGTTTGCGTTGGATGTATTTGATCATGTCAGCTGTACGATAGTCGAGCGCTGGTCGACCAGCCTTCCGTGCCTTGTCGGCAACTGAAGTCGAGCTGGGTCTGGCGAGATACGATCTAGCCTCTGACACATTCGATTTACGTGCCATAGACTTCTTGCCTTTAAAACTCCGCTTTTTGTGGATAAGCTTTTCTCGACCTCCTTCTCTCGCCTCCTCTTCAAGCAGGTCAAAGTCGTGATACCACGCAGTGCCAGCGACACTCATCTTGCGGAAGCGCATCGAGTTATTCGTTAAGGTGCCGGTTTTGTCGGAAAATATGTAGCTAACTTGCCCCAACTCTTCATTGATAGTGGACGTCCGTGCCTCGATTGGCGTATCACTCTCCGGGTCGTACATGTCGATATCAGCGTTCAGCATCAGCATCTGTGCAACCTTGACAATTTCCATACTCACGTAGAGTGAGATGGGAATCATGGTGTTGAACATGATCAGGAACGAGGTGAAAATTGGACCATAGGACACATTTGCCTTGTCCAGGTACCAAGAGTTTTGCTCAACATCGTCTGACCAGTACATGTATGCCACGGTGCAGGCAACCGCCAGCACGACCACCAATAGTACAATCAGCATGACTACCCGGTTGACACGGGCCTGAAGCGCAGGTGACTTGATTCGAGGATTCTTGTTCGCGTTCATTCGGATTTTGCACTCCTCACCAGTGTAGATAACCATACCGACCGCCTGCTCAGTATTACGCATGATGCTACCACGGTAGATAACCTCGTTGTTCGTCAAGGGCATTTTTTCGCCAGCGGCAACCGTAACATTGCCATCAAATTTATAGAGATCCAAATTGGGATCCTCGACAGCGAAGTGCATGGCATTGCTGCAAATGCCATCTACAGTTGCACACACCTTGGCGACTGGTTGACAAGGCTGCTTGTTTTTGAGGTTTGTCTCACCATCCAAAGCCATTGTTTCAATATAAGCGATATCGTTGGGCCCGTCTGCATGAAGCAAAACCATATCCGCTGGCACAGGCTGATCACGCTCCAGCTTGACAACGTCCCCGACCTTGATGTCTTTCCACTTCACCATAGTCCAATCCTGGGCGTCACTGGCAACGGAGACGCTATCACTCGACGAGGTTTGGGACAGTATTCCTGCACCTGGACGCAAAACAGACACATAGCGGTTGTTTTCCTCTTTGTCCAAGCGATAGCGACGCCAGTCGTCAAACCCTTCCTTTCCCATAGAGATGCTAACGAAGATCAATAGTGGGACCAGAGTAGTGAAAGAACCCGTCGTACTCAAGCCAGGAATCATCTGCAAAATGGCCACCACAAGGAAGTAGAAGTTTGCTAGCTTGGTAAATTGAGCGAAAAATTGTCGGGGAAAGAAACTCCAGAGGCTATAACGACTAGATCGGATCCAATTTCCACAGTAGGGCTTTCCGGTCCTCTCATCAATCAAATCCTCTGTCCTAGTAGGGTCAAGAATGATATGACGGCCATCCTTGCTCGGAGGGATATCTTTAATCCGGAGGATTGTTTTGCGAGCAGACTCCATAAAGCCCTCATACCGAGCCTTAATTCCAGCAATGGCGGCCCGTCTCTTCAGCCATTCCTCATATGCGATACTGGTAGACATGTGCCTGCCTCCCTTGAGATCTTCCAATGGGTCGGAGAAATATGCCGTCGAAGTGTCATCAATATGAACAGGGCTAGGTTCAGGTGCCGAGGTCTGAGTTACCAGTACGTCCTGTTTTTCATCTTCGGTCGACTTGCGCTCATATTGGCCATCCCCCGTAGGAGCACCTTGGCCTGTGTCGTCGCGCGATTTCCGTGAACTCCGTTCATTTTCCGTAGAAGTCTCCTGTTGCGGGCTCACAGGCTGGGCCAATTCAATGTCATTCGGCGAAATGGCCCCAGGGGAAGTCGCTGAGACAATATTCTTCGCGAAGATAGTCCGTCGAAGCGAATACCCGCGATTGCGCGATCGCGAGCGACCTGAGTCTGGGCCTTGCGGTGATGGAGGCGACAATGCCGAGCTAGGAGAAAGGGGGGAAATCGGTCTATGTTCTGGAGATCTAACTGACAAATGATCGTTTCGGGTAATACTGGTGTCGATAGTCAAGCCCCTGGAACTTTGCCTCCTGTTATGACCGGCATTCCTAGGCTCTTCCACGAGGGGACGCTCGAGATCGGCTGAGAAGCGAACACGGGGCTGGTGGGAATTCCTCCGTCCAGATTCTGATAGTGTTCGCGACGGGGCAATGGACGGCCGTTCTTGACTGATACTATGCCGCGACGGAACACTAATGGAATGGCTTCTCGGGAGCGCTGAGCCCAGGCTAGGGTCATGTCCGGATACCTCTTCCACCACTATACGACCTTCATCAGACGTCGCTCCTTGCGCGTCCCGGTTCGATTCGGCCCTCGCATCCTGGTTGGGCATAGCGGGGATATTTTTCCTTCAATAGCCTCCCGGCTAAAGTGCGCAACAGTTCGGTTTGTCCAGTGGCTCTGCTGACTTTGTATAGTACTTTCCGAAGTATGGCAAGGTCGTATTCACTGTTGAAAACCAAATGATTGCAATTGAACGAAGTATCGGCGGCGAGTAAACGAACAAACCTGGTGCATTCTTCAATCGAGCGGGTGGGGAGTTGAAGAAAACCTAGTACGGCGTCTATAGTCGACGGTAAGTGATACTCCGATCTAACGACAGGCTCAAGCTATGACCTGTACCAAAAGATAGAAAACAATAGAATGGTATCTCAATACGATAACGACCGTCCGTTATAGCAATAGATGGCACGACAATCGCACGTTTCGAGGAAAAACGACTGTGGGGAAGACCTCAGTTAGGTCAATAATCAAACAATACACTAGGAAAGAAAAGAAGATACCAGATCTAACAAAGGTACTAGAAAACAAAACAGAAGGAGAAGAGACCGTGGAGCGATGGCAAGGCACACCACCGCGAACGAACGAAGAAGTCAACGTCGACACCTACTGTCGTCCGCAGGCGGCGACTGGGTCGAGGCCTTTTTTTGCAAACTATTTGCTCTGAGTTTTGGAGACCGTGGACCCCAATGACCGTTCCCGTAAGCGGTAAGATGCCCGAAAATAGAGTAACCGCCACTTTGGGGAGAAGCAGAAAAGAAAAGAAAAAAACTAGCTTTTCCTCGGGTTTAAACTTTGCTTTTGCGATATTTGTATGTATGTCTCACGATCGCAATCAAAAGACGAAAACAACTCCCGAGAAGAAACACGTTGAAGGTCGCTACCGACCAACAATATAAGAAGTAACGTCAAATCAAATGAATCGTAGAAAATCCTTCCCACCTCTCGTAATTTAGTCCCTACAGTGGCCAAGGGTACCCTCCCCACTAGTTAACTTAGCGATGGTACCAAGACTCCAAGAGTCCAAGACGGCCTTCTTGACGGGCGCCTGTGGAGAAAACTGGACAGAATGACCTTAAATTACCCGCCGACCAGTCAAGGGCTTTGTTGGACCAAAGCGGTGGCTTGGAGGAGGCCACGCAAGTCAACGCAATCCGGGAACTCAATACGATGATGAATGGCCTCATTGGCAATTGTCACCCACTTAACCACCACCCTGGGGTTACATAGGACGATTCTCCCGTCAATCAAATAAGAATTTCTCTCATGCCCATGTGCGACAGTGGCATGCTGTTTTCTTGTACTTTTCGCAATCTGTAACTTAAAAAAGCCAGATAACGCTTATCACCAGACATTTTTTTTTCTTACTTGCATGCATACTTGCTTACTGTGCTTTAGCAAAAAAAAAAACAAGAGGCTTACGGCTATTAGTAGTACTATGAACTCCCGAGTCCTTACTACTTGAGAGAACAAAGACCACAGAAACCTTTTTAAAAAATAATATCTTCTAATAAACGTCTCTCTGGGTACGATGCACAGCCTCCAGAGAACAATTGGTAGAACCTGTCACTCAACCCAGGGTTCAGTGGCGGCATGTCCTCCTTCCATTCCAGATATCTTTCCACGTACCGATGGAATCTTCACTCAGGATCCCTGGGGTCAACCCCCCGGAAGTTGAATCCTACGGTTGTTGAACCCACAGTGCGTGGCAGACTGGCCACCCACGGGCGTGCATTTTACGCAGCCTTGTGGGTAAGTAGTGCCAGTGGGTGGCAAGGATTCAAATGGGAAATAAATTAAGCCCAAAGGCGGGGCCAACCTGAAGTGACTCGGGACTGAACCTTGTCATCAGGGAGCAACATAATCCTTCTCTGGGGGGCTGCATTAGGCTGACACTTTCAACGATTGAGGCTGTCCTTATGTCGTGATTCCCTCTTATCCAGGCTTTTAAACTAGGCAAACATATTTTGAACCTCTACAGAAAAAAATAAAAATGGAAGAATAGCAAAATGATAGCTATTGATTGACTCATTAACCACACCACCACGACCAAGTAACCCCATCATGAATCCTGCTCAGTGGGACGACATAGGGTCACGTGGTAGCACGGGTCCATGAACTGTCCTATTCAAGTATAGTGCCGCGTCCATCGCCTGTTTAGTTGCTGACTTCTACATCTCAGGGCTCCATCGACGTCATTCAACGGGCGGGAACAACTTCCGACCCCGGCAAAACATTGGCTGTAGGTATCTACGACATATTACACAGTAGTAGTAGTACGTACTACGTAGTAGTCTTCCAAGGTGATAATCTGTCTCATCAACCGTGTGATACCTCAATTCCATGCTGATATAGCTCCCATTCGAAATACAGACGTTGCGCGCAGTAAAGATAATATCGACGTATGTTCTATCCTTAACCATTGACCAATTCCGCCGCACCAGTAGCTTTTAGTCAATTTGGCTAAGCGCCGTAGAAGTGAACAAGTAAGGAAATCGTAATCATAATGGATACAACCAGACGTCCTGCCTTTCCGTGAAAAGCCCCTTCCCATCCCGCTTCATACATGTTCGTCTAGTACCGCGGTGGCGGAGGGGGAGCGTATCCGTAAGGACTCTGTGGTGGGGGATAGCCTCTCGTGGCACCAGCGGGCGGTTGTCCATATCCAGCAGAAGGAGGAGGAGGAGACCCGTACCCACCATACGGCTGTGGTTGCCCATAGCCAGGTGGTGGACCCTGGCCCTGGTTAGGAGGATAAGGAGCTTGACCATATCCCGGTCCTGGGCCATATGGGCTGGGTGGAGGGGGTTGATTAGGGTTTCCTCGCTGGCCATATCCAGGTCCCGGGTTATAGCCACCGTACTGACCTGGTGGAGGCCCTTGAGGTCCTGGAGGTCCACCCGGTCCCCGGAATCCTCCAGGTGGTCCACCAGGACCGCCAGGTCCTTGGGGTCCTTGGGGTCCTTGGGGTCCCCCGAAGCCGCCAGGCCCTCCAGGTCCACCAGGGCCCCCGAATCCGCCAGGTCCACCAGGTCCTTGAGGTCCCCCGAATCCGCCAGGTCCTTGAGGTCCGCCAGGCCCTCCAGGCCCTCCAGGCCCACCAGTACGGCCGGCGGCCTTCTCGTCCTTGGTATCATATGAGGAATCAATGGCACCAAGCATCAATTTAGCACACTATGAATTCTTAGTCTGCGGTCTTCACTGGCTTTTGTTGGCGTAGTGTCTACTTACCCAAAGCTCTCGAGTCAAATACACAGGGGGGACGGCACGAGACATCTCGTCTTGCTCGACCTCAAAGTCTGCCGGATGTTATTAGCGCACAGCTCCATTAACTTTACAGAAGATGTATGAGCAACCCACTTGAAGTGCAGTCAATCAAATTTCCAATGCTTGGGTCCTCATCCAAGCTGGATAGGAAATCACGTGCCTTGGCATCATTGCCCACCTGCGAGAACTGGAACGAAACAGCACCTCGCCCAAATGGGGTTCGCGATACCTCGTCAACAGCATAGCGAATCGAATTAGCCACGCAATCGAGAGGTTCACCGGCTGGCTGTCCGTCTGTAATGGTAATGACAAGGACCGGCTTCTGTAAGCGACCTGCCCGGGCGGGTCCCACGACCTGAGGATCCAGAACCTTATTCTTCAGACCTGTCCCCAGCGGCGTCAACCCTTGGAAACGGACACGTGAGACCAACATGTTGACATCATCCGCATTACGGATGCCGTCGCCTCTTTCCATAGAGTTCATGAAACGCACCGAGATGCCGTCCTCATCAAAGGTAGATGCGGCGGTCGCAACGATGCCAATAATCTGCCTCAGTTGTTCTTTTCTCACGCCTCTCTCTTCAAATTCGATAGATCCACTGTCATCTACGTAAAGAATGATATCGAAGAGGGACAATTTAATGATATCCGTAGCTACCTCTGTCGGCACTCCCCATTCGTGTATGATCTTGTTGATTTTAGCCGGTGCATCGTTGGCCAGACCTTGGACGAGTAAATTCAACTTCTCGGGGGGATAGAAGTTTTGGAGATTCTTCTCCTGGATGGTGCCAATTAGAAGCTGGCGATAGGCGGCTACCTGCTGCTCGGTGGCTCGAGGAGCGGGAGACGCGCCTCCTGGAGGGCCATAGGGAGCACCTTGAGGTCCAGGGGGTCCAGGTGGTCCAGGTGTTCCGCGCGCGGGACCACCGGGATAAGGTGCATTCTGCGGAGGATATCCTGGTCCCTAGTAGTTTACCCAGTTAGTCCACTTTCTTGATCAAGAATTTGGTTTCAGTGAGGATAGTTTTCAAAATAAAACAGACAATAAAGGGGATGCGACAAGGGGGGATACGTGGGATGACTATGTACATGAGAAGATGGCTGTGAAGAATATTCAGGTCCAGGCGCGGATCTAGTTGACGAGCCATGCGGGGATGGCGGAGGCGGCCTTCCGTAGCCTTGAGGGGGTTGTCCATAAGGAGGCCCATAGGGGTCTGACCCATAAGGAGGGGCCTGAGGGTATCCCTGTGGTGGTGGTGGAGCCGAGGCATATGGCGCTGGGGAGTAACTCTGAGGTGCAGGGGATTGAGACGAATGAGGATATCCAGAATATGTTGGAGACATCGGAGACGGTGAGGGAGCTGGCTTGTTGGGAGGTACTGCTGGGGCATACGCTTGGTACTGTTGGGGCGGCGCCGACGAAGTTGGATACGGCGATGCCGACCCAGTACGTAGCTGTGGAGGATATCCTTGTTGGTTATAATAAGGTCGCGACATTATTACACGGAGGCGTCCAGATGAAGAGGGTAGAAAGAAGCGAAGGGCGTGAGGTCCAAATTGTGGACAGCCGATGGAGAGGTGGTGAGTGATGTAGACAGAAAGTCCCAAATTCCCCTTCACTTGATAGACGGATAGGTTGTGGAAGGGTGGCGAACGCGACCAGGTAAGGCAGAAATTGAAAAGAAAAGCAAACGAGAAGCAAACAAAATTAGCTTACCGAGTTGCCGGATGGAGCAGGAGAGCCTGGGTAAGCCTGATATTGTTGCTCCAGTGAGCAACGATCATCAGCAGTGACTCAAAAAAATGTGGTGGAAGGGAGATTGCGAGTGGTAAGGAGGGGCATTGTTAGGTTTAAGGGCTGGTTATAGGGCAGCAGTAAATGGGAAAGAAAATATAATAGTGTAGCTTGGCCGCTACGTTTAGCTATTATTAGTGGGCACACTCACATTGTATCCACTGGGAGCACCACCACCAGGTTGCAACGCTGCAGGAGGACCGCCCGTGTAGCCTGTGGGAGGCGCTCCTCCAGGTGGCCCCGAGCTGTTACCACTCATGTTCTGCGGGTTTTGACTGCCAGCAATCTTGGAAGCAAACTAGTAGGCGCATACAATATGCAGAGATTAGTGCTGGGAGTGTACTTCTATTGGGTTGAAGGATGTTGTTTTCAAGTCTTATCTCAATCCAGGGAGAAGCTTGACTTGAGGGCGGGGCAGGAACGCGGGGCATAAGAGATTTGAAGGACAGTGGAACTTACACCCATGGTGATGTTGTTGAATCCTTTAACTTGTGACCGTCGGAGAATTCAAATGAAGTCAAACACAGTACAAGAGGGAACTATGTCTTGGAAGCAGGTCAAATAACAGATTGCGTAACTGAGAGAGAAGTAAACAGATTGAGGGGACCCGTGATGACGATTGGGTTCGTCGTCATGAGACCCGCTTTTTTTTATAATTTTTCAGCCCAGTTTGAGTCTACTAGTACATGGAAAATACGAGCATCTACTCGGACCTTCCGAGGTACTGTAGCGAACAAGGCGCAGACGATATAGAATTACGCCGTACTCCGATAGTTATCCCAGGAGGAAAGCACTTTTGCTATATTCGCCACCTATACTTAACAGTGGCATAAATACAATTTAATACATCGTTATTTATACATGGCACTACTACTCTGTACACATTCAGAGTTTAAATATATACCTTTTTCCTTGTTACTTCCATGGTCTGTACCACAACCAGGTTCAGGAATAGTTTCCATAGATCAATGCAAAGCCCCATCATTATCCCATGCCAAATACAATTACATATTGACTGGAACTTGTAACCCCCACATACGAATACGTTGACGAGGAGGATTATGGATCCATCCGTAAGGCTGAGCTGGTCTCAGCCCCAGCCTAATGGTAACGTATTCGGTCAAGATGACAATCCAAGGGACCAACTGATGGCTTGTTATGACTCTCATTCTAAATCTGTCCATCACTCTTTTCTTTTGACAATCGTGACATCACAGTCATCGTGGTTGATCAGTCACCCTCCTTCAGGTCAAGTGATTCTGGGGGCTATACCCAATCAGTCACCCCAGTCCATGGCCTGGAACGTAAGGCAGTGGATCACTGGTCAAATCATCTGGACCATACCTCAGGATCAACATGTCACATTATGATCCTCATACCTGCCTTTATGTGTAACTTTGTTGTGCACTGGCCTTGCTATCCCTTCAGATTTGCCTACAGTTCCCACGGATCACTCCATTGGTTAAAATCATCTGTCACCTCGTATTCAGTATACCTGGATTGCGATCTGACTCTTCATAAGGACAATTACCATGGACCTATCTCATGATATACCTATCTGAATACAACTGGACATGAACAGGAATCATGGCGTCAGATGAACAGTACCGGCAAAACCAGTTGAAGCGAACAAAACTGCCCTCGAATTGGAACCTCCCGTCGCCGTTTCCAAACCAATCTGTAGCCACTGATGTCACTTCTCGAAAAAGAAATATATATCGGTAGAACCAAGGACGGTGAGCTCTGCATTGATAAGAAGGAGGAAGGAAAGCGCGATGCATCCTTTTGCCCCGTTTTTCTTTGTATTTTCGCTCGGGTCTCATTCTTTTGTCTCAACACTACCAAGATCCCTTGCACCAGGCATACTTGGCAAACACCCTTTGCAAATTTATCTTATTAAAGAATGAGCACCTGCGGTTCTTTTCTCACGGCGCTTTCTGATCTTTTTATCACTTGACAGGCACGTTCAATCGACAATTCTTCACGTGGTAAGTATTATGCTGTGTGTTCTCGCTCTCTAGCCTGGATTTCGCTTCTTTGTTCTCTGGCCCTGACGCAGCATAATTTTACTTAACAGAGCCGGAATGACACAAACAATCTTGCGGGTTGGAATCCTCACAGACGGGGGCCAAGCCATTCAAAATCTCTATCTTCCTGTTCTCCGAACACTTCATGACTCCTATCGCGTCGCTGCTATCTACGACTCCTCCGGTCTGTCTTCGAAAGACAGCACTGCCAATGACTTGCCTAAGGTTGCTTCTAACCCGGAAAAGGTTCTGGATGACCCTTCCGTCGACCTTGTCCTGAACTTCATGCCGAATGAATACCACGAAACGTACACTGTGGCGGCTTTGGAAGCGGGCAAGCACGTTATGGTGGAAACACCTGTCAGCCTGAGTATTCCGAGTGCAAAGCGTATAATCGAGGCCGAGAAGCGCGCTCCGAACCAAGCGAAGGTTTTCGTGGCCTCTGCACGTCGACATGCACCTTGTTTCGAGGTCTTCAAGAAAGAAGCTGCTAGCCTGGATCGGATATATTATGCTCGATGCCGGAATATCGCAGGGCCGCATTTGGCACACACAGCTACTACGCCGAAGAACAAACACTTAAGAGTAAACGGCAGTCTACCAATTGGGCTGTCCCTCGATGACCAGCATGGCGAGCGGCTGCGCCATTGCCTTCTCCAAGAGGTATTTCTTGGCGAGGATTTGACCGAAGAGCGCCTCTCCTTGAGCCGATTCCTGGCATCCTTGGGATGCCATGATTTGGGACTGATGCGCGATACACTGGGGTATCCCGATGCCATCTCCAATATTACGGTGAATGAACCATTCTACTCGGCCGTGTTCCATTACAATGGTAGCGTTAGTCGGGGTCACCATCCGTTTACTCTGATATACGAAACGGGAACCGATTCCGTTCCTCGATGTGACGCACACCTAGCTCTGTATGGTAATACCAAGACTGTGAGCATGCACTACGACTTACCATACGCCCAGGGCAAGCCATCACGGGTGGTCGTGGAAACGGCGGATGGCAAGGGTGATCTGAAAAGAACGGAGAGTGTTAGTAGCTGGGAGGATGCATTTAATGCCGAGCTTAAGGCGTTGTATGCGTTCTTAGTTGACGGAAAGCCTGCCCGGACAACAGCGCAAGACTCTCTCCAGGATCTTAAATTGTTCCAAACAATTTTTGAGCAATATGATCGACAGTGTGGGACCATTAGAACCCCCCTTGGCTAAATTGGTGACGCGTTTTTGCCTGATCGAACAATTCTGCTATTAGATTCGCCAGCTGGCTATTTTATTCTTGTTATTGTATATGTCTTCCTACTTGTGGTTGACATAAATATTAGCGTGAAAGGCGGGGGTTATCGAGGTATACAAGCACATTGTTTGGATATATTGGTGTTTGCTAAATTGTTACGTGAGATCAACTCTAGTTTTAAACGAGACCCATTGTCACTTTGATATTATATGCAAGACAGGGTCTGTCTATGATACGCAACGGTTCACATATGGATTCACCGCTTTCCCTTCTTCTTTTTCTTGTTAGCACCTCCTCCGCCTTGAGATTTCTGCTGCTGAGCCACGGGCGCAGGCGATTCCTCCGCCTTTTCGTTGACAATACCTCCCTGCGTCCGTTCGGCGGCCCGTTGCTTGCCTTTTCGGCCCTTGGGCCGGTAACTAGAACGGTCGCGGAGGGGCAACCAGCGCTCCGGATCCGGCGTCTTGCTAGCATCATAATCCTTGGGCAGACGCGACTTTCTCACCCGCTTAGTTGCACGACCTTGTTTATCGCTAGATGTCCTCTTTCTAGCCCCAGCGATGGCCGCTGCGGCTGCCGCGGCTGCGGAGGAAGGAGGGGATATGCCGGCTGATTCAAGTGCGTTTACATCGACATCCGAGATCAGATCGTCAATTGGAGGGAGAGTGTCAACCTGGGACTCGACCTTGGCATGGTCCAGTGTTGCCTGGGAAGCAACGTAACCGGCGACGGCGAAAACATCTTGGCTGTCCTTCTGGTAGAGAGACTTGAACAAATCACCGGCGGTTGTAAGATCGGAGCGGTCCGACGAGTGCAGCAAAGACTCTGCGGCCGCACGAAGAAGTGAAGAAGGCGCCTCAACATGCTCCTGCCAATAGGCTGCCGCTTTAGCGAGTTCCGACCTGATCTGGACTCTCCGGCCTTCGAGCTTATAGAGCGAAACGAGAATGCCTAATAATCCAGGGTTGAAGCGGACCTCCTTATCCTGTTCAGAGATGGAGTCTTCGAGTAGCTGCAGGGATTTCTCTAGGGTGGTAATTGCGGAAGTAGTGTTGCCTTCGGTCACGTAGAGTTGCACGGCTGTGAGCGCTAATCCGATGTCCTTCGGCCGCCTTTCAAGTGCGGGTAATATCGCCTTCAGGGCTGGTGTGCCAGTTTGACCACGTGCATGAGCAGCCGCATTGTAGACCGACAGGAGGTTTACGTTTGGTTTAGCAGATGGATATGATGCTTGAGAGAGCGCCTTCGATGTTGATCGGATAATACCGTCATATTTCTGGACGAGAAGATCCGCCGAGTGGACATTGCCGGTCACTATATTGTCCTGGTAATCGAAAAGCTTATCGTTGTCAACCGAGACGGGGGTTGCATGTAAGGATTTGTAGAGAGCGTAGGGGTTGGTCGTTGTGTCGCGGACAAGTGTGATGTTATTCAGGGCGACTCTCTTGGTGGAGAGTTCAGAGATACTGTGCAACAGTGAGCTTCAATGGCCGTAATTGACTTGGAGCAGGACGCATACTCATTGACGGAAATCTCCTCAAGCACCGACTCTGCCTCCTCCGACTTTCCCTGACGGATCAAGACATATAGCTGCTGCACCGCAATCGGGAGCAGCTCAGCGGCTTTATCTTCGGGGGTAAGGTCTTCCGATGTCCGGCATAGTTCTGCACAATGATGATCAGCAACCGTCTTCATGGTGGCTCAGCCCGTACAAACCTTTTGCCCGCTTGAGCAACATTTCTCCCTTACTGAATTCGCCCTTGGCGATACTAAGACAGGCCGCATTGTAGACGGTCTCGAATGCCTCCAGATCATCTCTCGTGGGCCTGTTGTGGCGGACATAGTCGGGGTATCCTTTCCATTGTAACTGGGCATCTACAGCCCACGCATTGATGCGCAAGTCGTTTTCTTCGTTCGCCAGGGCGGTCTCGTCTTTAGTCAATTCTTCGTAGAGATCAGCTGCGCGGCGGAATTTCTCGGCGCGATAGGTCTATGAGACCAGGTGGTTAGCAGTGACCTTCCGCGGGGACATGCGGTCGGAAGACAGGCAGCGATGACATACGGCTTGAGCCTCCAAATGACGAGCACCTCTATTGTTCACGACTTGTGACGCTACCTCAATGGCTTCATCCAGGTTCGCGGTCTTGTACAGGACGTAAGCGTATTCCAAAGCGGCCCTCTTCTTCAAAGCATCACCTCCCTCTTCGAAGACACGCAGACAGTCCTCGTAGCGGTCGAGCTTTAGCAATGCCACCACTTTCACATGCTGCGCCTGAATATCCGATTTCGATTTGGCCAAAGCTGCGTTGGATGAGCGAAGGAATTCCTCGTGATCGTCGATTGACGTCCGCTGTAACAGCGAACTCAGTGATTGGGTAGCCATCGTGAGAGGTGTTGAATAGACGGCGGTCGGTCGGCAAGATGGTTGGTTGGGCCCAGAGAGGGCACGAATTCGGTCGAAGATTATAGCCTTAGTTGAAAAGAGCGTCCCATATACTTAATTGGACCTTGACTGAGGAGCGGGATGGCTGTGGTTGATCTTCAGATACGCCGATGTGGACTATCTGTGCGGAACTGAGATATTACTCCATCGGGGAATCCTGCACTCGGAGAGCGTTTGGCTCGCCGTAGGGCTTCCTTGGTTGATGGCCCGATTCTTCAGGCAGATTTATTTAGTCCGTTCATATTATCCAGATTTGGCCAAAAGAGTTCCCTGCCTAGGTCCTTGGTAAGTACTCCATATTACTACCCCTGCTTTCCATCTTTCTTTCTACGAGTCCATTCGATCGACCACAGACCATCTGTTTCTCAAAGTGACCAAGCCCATGGCTCGATAGTGCATACTATGTATAGGCTCGTCCCCCTTTAGTGTGAAAGTCAATCATAATGTGTCACACCCTGCAAGGTTTCAGTGGCTTTTCATGGCACCTTGCTGCTATCAAATTTGAGGCACGCCTAGAACACGCCAGACTCCAAGACAGGGTCTAGGTCTTGAGGTTTCTTCCCTGGAATTGGGGGAGAATAGTCACACATCCAAGTCTACTTCACGGGATGTATACTAGGATGAGTCCTCTTGCAATGCAGATTACCCAAGTAGTTATTCGCGATTGAAGCTGAGTTGATATGTTCCAAGTTCCCACTCCCCCATGCCTCTCCTGCACAGTCTTTTCCATATCCAACGGTTACGCTATCGGTTCCTCCATTTGGAGTAAAATGCATGCCAAGATCATCTAAAAACGCCCTAATCAGGTGATGTTGGTGACAGTTGATAGGGAGATACCTTCCAAGACGAAGATTAAGGATGAAATGAACCAGATCCAGATTGCACAGTATCGATGATCTATTTTTATATCTATGCATAGACATCCCTGTTCCATGGCGTGAGAGATATGCAATCCATTGACAAGGAAGGAGAGGTAAACACAAAATTCAACAGAAAAAAAAAGTCAAAGACCCATCCGTATAGTAATGAACGATCCAAAAGGGAAGAAAAGGAAATGATGCCAAGCGATTGGCCTGCAGCCGTCGTCATCATCCCGTGGGCCCCTCGAGAGGGATCGTCTCCAAAAGAATGTTACCCGCGCGTCTCCGTTTGCGACACTTCCTTTGCACGACCGGGTCTTTCGTGATGGGAATGAGAGGTGTCACTGTCAAATGCAACCCTTCACCCCTAACAAGATGTTGTCTCGGTATTCGGTCAAAAATTGAATGATCATTGGAAGCATTGGCAATTGCGCAAGAGGATTAATATCACAAGCGCTGGAAGTATGGAGGGCGTCGACGCCACTGACCACAAGTCTCAAGCCAACAAAATTCTCCTATTTGGGATCCACGGCCGATCAGCCCCTGTGAAAAAAAAAAATAAAAAACAAAAAAAAACTGTTGCTGGATCACGGCTCCATGAGGCAGGTGCTGCCCTGACAAGGAGACGTAATCTCATTCGATAGCCATCAAGCTCAATCTCCATTTTTTTTCTCCAAAGGACCCAGAGTGGCCAGTCCCATGGTCGATCGTCTGGGCCTTCTCCGCCTGGAAATGACTGCTTTCGTTGCAAAGCCGAAAAAACTCAGGGCAAGCGACTCGCTGGCTGTTAAATCCATGGTCCAGGGTCTCCGTTGATCGGCTGGATCTTTCCCTTGTTTGCCTCCTTTCTACACCCAAATCTGCTTAATTATCGGTCGGTTAGTGTTTACATACTGACTGATGCCCACCGTTGCTCCCGCTGCCGTCATCCCGACCCCGTACTGGCCTTCATAACCGGCTTGGAGCATTTTCTCTCGTTTCCTGTTTTTATTCTTCGTCGTGTATTACGACCTCTCTCTCGTTATCTTCCCCTCATCCTCCACTCGTTACCGCTCATCTCCTTCATCCCGCCTTTGGTGTCGTGCTGGAAGATCGAGATGCTTATGTTTTTCTAGTGCGGTACCTAATCTACTATAATAATTTCACCGTTCAGCTCTTCTCTTCGAGAATCCATAATGTTGGCGAAAGTTGGGGAGAAGCCCCCTACGATGGGTGCCTCGCGCGTGTGGAAGAAGAAGATACTACGTTTTACTGTCGTTCTCGGCTTGGTGGGCGCTTTTGCGTATTTCCTCTGGCCTCAGATTGAACCCCAGGAGCTTGCTGCCGAGCCTATCTCCAATATCACAATCACGTCAGATGTGCAATGCGAGCCGGACTTCGACGCTCTTCGCCGTCTCGATATCCATAAATTGTCAGGATATACACGTCGCGAGGTGATCGCCGTTCCATCCTCCAACAATGCCTTGCCCGTCAGGCAAAATCTACAGACGCCCTTGTTCGAGCGGCAATCGTCGAATGACGCTGATCGCCTCTCGCTCCAGAAATCGCAGGACGATTGCATGATCCCAGAGCCTGTGACTGTCCAGGTTCTCCAGCCTCCAAGAAACGTGGATGCATCACATATCGACTTCGGTGTTGCGACAACCCTGGGACGGCTGAATGAGTCTTTAGATGCGTTCTCTCACTGGGCTGGCTACACCAAAACTCGCATCTTCGCTCTCATTGAGCCTGATATGGATAAGCGGACACATGAGGTCCAGGCTAAGGCGGACTCTCTCGGGATTAATTTGTATATTACGGAAAACGACGAAGAGTACCAACGCCGGTACTTCACTTTGGTTTCGCACTTGGGTAAGCACATGCGGCCGCAGACGCGATGGTCCTGCGTCATTGACGATGATACCTTTTTCCTGTCCATGTCTGAACTGGTGAAGGCTCTTGAGGAATATGATGATACCCAGCCTACATATGTCGGCGGTCTCTCGGAGTCTATCCCACAGATCGGTGTGTTCGGTTTGATGGGTTTTGGAGGCGCAGGCGTCTTCCTATCCCGGCCCCTCGTGGAGGAAATCAGCAAGCCCGAGGTCTTTGAAGCCTGTCTGAATACGGACCACACCGGCGACCGGAGGATATCGTTGTGCATTTACCAGCACACCTACACGCACCTGACCATCAACCACCGTCTGCACCAGCTTGATGTTCAGGGCGACGTTTCCGGATTTTTCGAGTCCGGACGGCAACCCCCTCTGTCGGTACACCATTGGAAGTCGTGGTTCCATATGGATATGGCGAAACTCAGTGTCGTCAGCGAGCTCTGTGGCGATAGTTGTCTTTTGCGGCAATGGAAGTTCGCCGACGGGTGGATCTTGACAAATGGCTTCTCGGTCATGAAGTACAGCCAGGAGCTTGATCCGAACGACAAGACCATGGAACTCACATGGGAAGGCCAAAACGGAGCCGTGCACGAGTCGTTCCTGCACGAGTTTGGTCCGTTGCGTGGAAAGGACTGGGATAAGTTCAGCTATGTGCTGGAAGACTCGGTGCTCGACGGCAACAACGTACGGCAATGGTACGTCCATCGCGATCCTGAGCAGGGCGACCAAATTTTAGAATTGATCTGGCGAGCTCAATAGAGGACTATTTGAGTTCTCGCTTTGGCGTCTGGGGTGTTTCTGTCTTACTACATTCGATCGGCACTTTGATGCCTCTTTCTCCCTTTCATCGTTGGTTCGGGTATGCCACCACCTTCACCCACATCCCCCCTTTCTGTCTATAGATAAAAGACCGCCCTTCGGCGGAAGCGTATATACGGTTTAATCCTCACGGCGGATAGATTATGAGTTTCGTTATTTCTTTCTGATGATATCAATTTGTGCAATACGAGTGATGCATGGTTCGGACTACCCTTGTTTGCTGTTGTCTCGTTTATAGCCCAACCATTGCTGGAGTATATATCGGAAATGGAAGGATCTTAGATTTTCAGACCACTTCTCTGGTTTAATATATAGAATGAAGACCAGTTTTCTATTTTCATCTGTCCGTGCCAAGCATATCTCCATCACGGTATGTACAATAATGACCATTAACTGACTCTATAAACTCCCATACTCATCATCATGACCCAAGAACCAACTCCCAAAGCTCCCAAGAAGTGATTGACCCCTGCACCATTGCACCGTCTTCACCCTATATACATACGCTCCATATTATATACCAGGAGGAAACCCAATCCCAAATGCACGCTGCGAGCATATATACAAACCACACACAACGAACGCAACCAAAAAAGTAAAAGTAAAAAAAAAAAAAAAAAAAAATCTCAAAACGAGATCTCTGTCCCCCCCCACAATCCTCTCCCCAGCCTCCTCCTCCCGCTCCTGCAGATCTTCCGAGATGCCCAGAAGATTGAACCCGGATTCATCGGTGCGCCACGAGATGGACGGCGGGCCACCAAACGACGGCAGGAAGTCACTGACGGAAAGCGAGCAGTCGAAGCTGATGATGCCGCGACTTTGCTCCACGAGGGCCGGGAAGAGATATGACTGGGATCCGCGGATGCGGGAGAGGGTGGTGAGGATGCCCCAGAGGAGCTCGCGGGGGTCGACGGCGGCTTCGGCGAGACGGTGGGCGGCTTTGGTGCTGAGGGAGCGGGAGACGTCTGCGACGGAGGTGCCGAGGTCGTAGAGCTTTTGTTCCTGGATGTGTGTGTTAGGGTTGTGGGG